CAAAACAGAGAACAATCGGTGGTCAAGTTTTAGGTAATAACTCTGAAGTAGAGTGCGTACCAGAAGCATCCAGGGTTGCTGTGTTAGGAGACATAGAGCTTCTGGGAAATTTGTGCTGACTATTACAATTGGGTCCGAGTTTTTCGCCTAGTCAACCTATTTCTAAAACATTCCTGCGCAGGATCACATGCAGTCTGCATGAACTTCAAGATCAGTTGCATTATAGAGCTAGGCTAGAAAGGTTAGGTAAAGAAGTGCTAAAAGAAGAACCAGGATCACTATCTCTCCCCAGCTTTCTTTAAGCAGTAATCATTAAATAACAAAGTTGGTCTTGCAATTTCGCATGTTTTTGTTCATAGTTCCGCAAGTACTTAACCCATCGACATAGGAAATTAAACACTAACCTTACACACGTGCAAAAGTGTGGTATATGCCAAGTTAGAGAGCTTATAAACTCAAAATCTATTTGTTTATCTATTAATGGTAGAGGTGGATGATTTTAGTTATTCCTAGTCAGGTGGATGTTAGAATAGCAGAAAAACACCTCCACAATGTTTCCCTCTATCAACCATCCTTTGAAAAGGAAAAAAGGAATACAGAAATCGGTACCGGAAATTAAATCTAGAGTGAGTCAGCACGGCAAGGGCGGCGAGTTTAGGCCCTTCAGTTATTTCTCGACTAGAGAACGAGCGTCCAAGTTGTCTTTTCCTATAGTCACTTACTAAGACGCAGAAATTTACCCCTGCTGATGATGACGACCTTTCATCATTTAATGCTAGACCTATCATCAGTTGTATAGGTGGGCCAACGGGTAGAATAACGTGGTTCCCAAACCTTATCCTGACCCAGCTGCTAAAGTTCACACCAACCCATTTACCTAATATTAAAATATTTCTATATCATCTACAGTGCGCGCAACCGAACAGCACACATGTAATGCAATCATTCCATGTTACTTCGCTTTATACCAATGTGTCGAATGACTCCGCAATGCAAGCCATTCTCGAGTTGCTTGTAGAGCACGGAAAGAAAATAAAAATGTACGGCTTGTCGATTGCGCAACTAATGACTCTATCAAAACAGTGTCTAAGTTGTTCATTCTTTAGGTAGTCTGGAAAATGTTTTGCATAAATTAGAGGGTTGACCATGGGACACCGATTAGCACCAAGCCTTGTCATCGCTTTCTTGTCTAACGTGGAAGCTCTAGTTCTCGATCGACGATTCTTACTCTATATAACAAAGTAATAAAGCTGTATAACAAAGTGATGTCGTAAGCCAAGCAGTAAAAATATTCTGGTTCATTGTCTCTCTGTCATCCTTCACACATGGAAAAAGCACTCATCAGAAACATGTACCGTACGGCTGAAAACGTGTGCCCAGGAGAAGAGGAAACGAGGGAATAGCTAAATGTGGCACGAAAAGTAGTCATTTCCAATGGGCACGAAGCGGAAGCCACTCGAGTCGGAAAAAAGCGTAGGGTTGTTCCTCAAAGAATATTTCGAACTTAAGTAAGATCCCTTTCAACCTACCGTCTTCAAGCTACGAATCGTCAACCATAGAACAACAGCAACTATAACAATGAGAACATCTATATCAACGTCACATCGGCTAAACAAGGGTTGCTCATAAGAACATGTGCGTAGGTGTATCAATCGATTCGATTCGATATCGATTATGCCGAGGTCCATATAAAATCGATCTTTTCAGTGTTTTTAGAATTCATTTGACGTGAGAAGATTAGATTCATCCATTTGTAGAACTACATATTCGGGATATTTGACATACGAAAGCATAGGAATAACTGAAAAGAGTTGGAAGATAGCAAAGAGTTCAAACTGCTAAAAATCCATTATTATATTAACCATTTCACAAAAATCGCTCATGATGAAGTCAAGGTAAAGAAGTTCGATAAGGTAGTTTTGCCAACCGTTACACCCTCTCTAGAGCGTAAAAAGTGAAACCACAACACGAATTCATTTGATCTAACATTCTATCGCAACTGTGAAACCAAAGAGCGAAGTTTCTAACATAAAAGTGTTAAGGTCCCAAGTCTTGAAGTACAGCAATCATCGAAACGCATAGTTTTTTAGAATCAACTTGTTGCCTCATTCTCAGTCGCTTTGATAGCACGTGGGTATTCTATGAAATGGGATGATATCAAAACGAAAAGCAAGCCTGATAAAATTCTTTGCGCAACTTGCACAACTTCGTGGCATGTTAACAACATTGTGGCTGGTGATGGAAATCTTCTTACATCATATACAAGAGCTGAATATGCTCAAAAAGCGTGGGAAGGCGTAAGAGAAACATAGAGCATACATAAGGTAAGAGAAACGCAGAAATCCTTTCCAAACTTAGAAAAAAATCGAAGAAAAAAATGCGGAGGGAAAACCACAATAAAAAGGGTCGCCCTACCCGATCAGGAGACATTGTGGCTGATATGGCCATAGATCTCATATTGAATGAGCCGAAAAATTGGCCAGCGAGATGTTAGGCATCGTCGCAAATGTGTTAATCTGTCGACTATGCATGTCATCGATGTTTTCAGAAATGTTATGTTGTTTGTTGTGTTTTTTAATATTGTGAAATCTGTTTTTAAATTTTATGTTAACAATGGCTTCTGAACTACAATCTCCAGGATTAAAATACTGAATCGCTAGCGTTTTATGTTCACTATGATCTTCTATTTCCTCTTTGTTCAAGAGTTCATTAATCTCTTTGCAGTTATTTTTAATCAACGATGATTTCGTTTTGAATTCTTACTTTCATGTTGCTTTGCTTTAAAACTCGATGTTGTTTGTATGACATCTTTGCAAAAGTCAAATTGGTTAAATAAACCTTGATTTCAGTGTTGCATCAGTCCGAGTGGTGTAACGTATTGGTGAGCAACGTTGTAGTGGTATTAGTACTGTTTTCTCCACATGTGAGAAGCAGACGGGCGCGTGTGGTTCAGTGATCGGAGGAGCCTTGCAACACACACATGGAATCACGTGCATGGCTCACCAAGCCTTCCATCCCTCTAGGGTCAGCAAATTGGTACTGAACTTGTCTGGGAGGATAGCAGCACTGGTTCGATGCATCGTTAGGCCACCGCCAGTCATTGTAAAGGCCAGATATGCATTCGATAACCTCTAAACGATGCTTAATGAAGGAACGTATGGCGTATCCCTCAAGACTTCATCCTTTTTATTTTGTACATGTCAGAATGCGATCCATCCACTCACATTAACAAATAGCTGATTGGTATTGATACGCATGCGAGTTGGCATAGTCCATCGTATGCATTGACTTCAATGCAATTTTTTCCAATTGTTCGTTTTTTATTTTTTGCACTCAATGAATAGCTCTTTCAATGCAAATGTGCCAGATATGGTTCTCGAGAAACTGCGGTCTACATTTAATGACATACAAAACAAATTTTTTCGGGCGCATTTCTCGGCCCTCACCGCAGCTATGAGAAATTGGGCCTAGTCAGTTTTATACGGCCTTCACAGTTTTTAAACTTTCACATTGTCGAAGTAACAAATCGGTCATTGTAAACCGATTTCCACTTAGTCTGGGTATGAATGATCAGGGCCGCGTTTGGCGTAGTGGTTGGAGGTGCCCTGCAACACATGTGGAATCGATCCCCGCGCCCACGGCTCACCACGCTTTCCATCCCTCTGGGGTCGGCAAGTTGGTACCAGACTTGTCCGGGAGGATAGCAACACTGGCTGTATACAACGGTAGGCCACCGCAAATCATTGTGAAGGACAGATATGCATTCGATCACCACCTCTAACGATGCTTAAAGAAGTCGAATGCATTGCGCATCCCTCAGGGATTGATCAACGCCGAGGGCTTTATCCTTTACGAATGATCAATGCACCGCATTCCGTTGATAAGTTACCACGAGGTTGTTACCAAATATTTATTTGGCTAACGCTTCGACATCTTCGCCTTATCAATGGAATTCTGTGCGTTAATACATCAGTCTTAATGAGTAGTGGTGCGTGATTTCAAGAACTTCCCTGATATGCATGTCTGCTTCGATGTTTACCAAATGCCACATTTTCCCACATCCTGTAAAAATTTTCAAACATAATTGATTGCAACGAACAGTACTTCTAAAAACGGATCGAGTTAGACTACTTCTCCAATAGTTCTGGTACTTTTTTGTTTCAAAGACGTATCTTTTATGCTAGAATTTATTCAAATGACCCGCTTTTAAGAAATTTGTCAAGTAAGCAGTATACTTCAGACCTGAAGGCGCCAGGGTATCCATCACAGGCAAATGATCGGGTTGAATCGAGTCGTAGGAAGAAATAAGAGAACAGGAAAAATCAACAACGAATGAAAGAAGTATGGACATGAAAAGTGAAATTGTCAGAGAGCGTATGTTCTAGAAAAATTAATACTTGGTGCCTTAAAAATGAAGCAGTTTGAGGTAGCGATGTCATGTTTTGAAAACAAAAGAAGTGTTCATTATGCGATATAGTGATATAATGGTAAATACCCTGAAGAGAGTATTTCCACAAAGAAATTACGACTGAACATGGAATCCTTTTAGACTATCGACAAGTCGAAATGTATTTATAATTGAACCAATAAAAAGGAAAGAGTAGAAAACTTTGCTTTTTAACCTTCCTCAGCGCCATCTACATAGTGAAAAGAAGTTGGTGGTTGCAAGCTATTACTGACACAAGTACAGCGGAAGCTGTGATGGTTTTCAATACACAGCCTCCCTGATTTCTTTGTGTACTACATCTAGGTGTCTTCTGTCACCAGGAATTTTAAGGACCCTTCACCAAAAAACGAAGGAGCATAGCTTCCTACTTTTTGGAATTTTCCTGTTTCTGTTATGAAAAACAAGCAAGGGAACACTACAAGTAGGGTACCTGGTGCTAAAATGAATGATCATCAATAAAATGTCGGCAATAGGAAGTTCGAGGCATTTTCACTTGAGTTTAAAAAATTTTGATATAGTGAGAAGCTGGTCGTCAAACCGACCAACGGACTGATCAGTCGTCGTCTTCGTCACGTTGCTCGAGGAGCTTTTTACGTTCCACATGAGAACGATGTTCGCAGAGAACAATACTCGCAATTAATAAAACAGCCTAAAAAATATTTAATTAGTTAGTTATCTTGGAATAGTATCAAAGCATTAGACTTTCTACAGCTTTACAGAGGCATGTATTGTGAAATGGTTAGAGGTGTGTTACAACACAAACAGGGACGTTGGTCGGAACTTTCACCCAAGGCCAATAAATCTTCCCATCCCTCCTGGGTGGATGAATAGCTATCGCACTTGTCTAGAAGGATAAAGACACTGATTTCATTCGGTAGGCTCCGGAAAGCCACTGTGTTGGTCAAATTTCCGTTCAATCACCTCTACAACACTATGAAAGGAAACGAATTCATGGCACATCACTCAGCGGTTGACCAACGCCGAGCGCTTTATATCCCATCCTTGTAACTTTATAGAAAAATGAAACTCTTTATGATAATCCCACTTTTATTTTCCAATATACTCAAAATTTCGCTTCACTTTTCAGATGTTGTATCACATGCACGGTTCGATACTGCCAAACAAGTTGCATGCCTCAAAGGTCTACAAATTGGCAAAACTTAAAAAAGCTCCATCCGATTCAAAACGGCCGATGACTGCATGTTGCTAAGACTTGAGAACACTTTAGCAAAGCTATCGCATGACTCGGTTTCCAGAAAGGATGAATTCGAAGCATCACACGACGACATTCGTAACGAAGACGGGATTCTAAGGGCCGGTCGAAGCCATAGGCATATCTGAAGACCTTCGTGGATAAAGGATGCGAGACAATCGATCAAATGAAAAAGCGCTGAGATACGCACAACATGTGGCGTGGGTCATATAAATAAACAAGGAATAAAAACTTGCTATTTGAAGAGGTAGAATTATAAAAATTGTCCTTTACGACATTATGGGACATACTTGTAACAACAAAAATGTACATAGAATAACTATGATTAATGTTTCAGACTGAAGAAAACGTTTCACGGGCAGACACTCTGAAGGTCGTTCGCAACCGGACCGTTTTTGCCACTCCTTCTCCAATTTCTGATGTAACTGAAACAGCATGGCATCAGAAATTTCGAATAATTCAATAAACCACCCACATGTCTTAAGTAAATGTTCACTAGGACACATCAGTAACAATCTTTGCCAAATTTTTGGTTCCCTTTGTGGATAGAATTATGTGAGAACCAGTCCACCCGATAATGGCATACTAGAACAGTTGCTTTCTAATAAAACCTGGTGGAACCCTCCTCTATTTAAAGTTTAACAGTGTAGAAGCGTATACAGATTAGGTTCTTGGGTGTTTTAGCAAATGAAGTGCCCGGCTTTAGATGGAATCTTTACAAAGCTGTTATACTTTTCCCAATGTTTTATGAGACTAGACTTTCCACAACTATTAAAAATATATATCCGGGCTTCAAAACGTCATTGAAAACTTCTGGCTTCTTACTATTTTAATTCGCTGGTATTTTCTTACTGATAAAGCCGAGCAAGTTTTTGAAGGAATATAACTTTGATGAGGAAAGGAGACGAGGCAATGTACTAGAAGTTGTTCAGCCTCTAGACCGCCGCCTGCGAAACAATTTCTACCCCGTTTTGCAGCAGAGCCAGATTTTTTTTATTCAAAAATGAAAGGGGTATTTTGAAGCAACACCTTGTGAACTGCTTCGAATTCAACAGCACCCTCCTGATGTCAATGTTTCGTCTACCGTATACATTTAAAAGGTTAAAAAAGTCGTTGATACTCGTAAAAAAGATCCATCTTTTCCCATTACGGAAAACATCCAAAAATGGCTCTCTAGTATTCAAAATAAGCAAGAAGTAGTAAGTATTTTGCCGCCTATCGTTGAAATTATGTGGAATCCTCTTAAGGTCGGAGGCCCCTGCAAACATGGCTCACCAAGCCTTCCACCTCTCCGGGGTCGGTAAATTGATACCAAACTTGTCTAGGAGGATAGCAGTCTGGCTCGATACATCAGTAGGTCACCGCGAGTCATTGCAAAGGCCAGATATGCATACGATCACCTCCAAACGATGCTTAATGAAGTCGGATGCATGGCCCATCCCTCATGAATTGATCAACGCCGAGAGCTTTATGCTTTTATTTTATCTTTTATGTGGAATCCTCTTAGTAAGCTTTCTAATGTTCCGTGCTATTTAAGGGAATTAAAATCATCCCTAAAAATTTTCTACTAGTTGATGAACAATTTGCAATGGATCCATTTAAGCCAACATTTCCACTTCCTTAACGTCAAGAGTGACCTTAAGTCATTTTTGATATTTGTTTTCCAGGTTATTTTTTTCCTTATGAATGAAAACATGCAGACCCAAAGATGAATGATTCATTCGTCGATGGATCTCTTCCAAATTTCACAACTATCGTTTCAAGTAGCTAAAAATGCATTACAGCCACTTCTACATATAGAAAAAAATATGCCCCTAATACACTTTCTAGAAAGGTTTTAAAAAACGTTTCAAACGAAAATAAATTGGGAAAATTCGCGTACTATCAAAAAGAGCTAATTCCGATTTCCGAATTGATACGTAGAATGTTCATAAATAGAGTGTGACATAACCAAAAAAAAGCCCTAAACTTCCCATAATACAAGAAGGGTCGGATAATTCATACAGGAGATACCAAAAGAAGGAGATTCATGTGACAATGAGAATGACATTGTGTACACATACCCTCTTCCTAACCGTGATGGTAAATGCGACGGCAATCAACTGTGCGAAGATCATTGCTATTTGTCCAAGAATGTGCTGAAAGAGTAAATGATCAATTTATGTGCTAAATAGACACCACTAAATTCCTTTTTTGGAGCTGCTGCAGATGCCTTTCAAATTAGCTGTTAGATGTCGGAAACAGAACAGACAAGGAGCAGTCGATACTTGACACTTTCGAGTTTGAAAAAAAAAGATGTAAATTTCGATATAGGAGATAATGTGGAGCAAGAAAATGCAAAAAGATTGAAAAAAAACAGGTAAATATAACGCTTCGGGTAAGTCTCTCAGTTTTTATTATTGCCTTAAGTACGCCATGCATTCGAATCTACTACGCAGTGTGCAGATGAATAATTGCATAACAGGTGTGTACCAAGACTCGCGAAGTCCTACCAACAAACAGGTCCGAATGGATTTTTCGACCTAAGATGGAATGAAGGCCCGAAGCACGAGATCGAATCAATGAAAGGCAATGTATTGCAAAACACCTCTAAGCATAGCGCAATATGTGCTACAGAAACGAAAAAATTGGAAAAATTGGCAGCTCTGTTAAAATTTGTAAACCTATAAAAGAGGTTTGTTTTCAGAAATCTCAATAACAACCAATTTCACAACATTGCTTCAGTGAGGGAAAATGCATTCAAAAATGATGTAACTAATCAAATCTCTTGCAACTAGCTTTCTTTTGAATAAAAAACTATTTGTCTAGGGAGCACGTGTGGCGCAGTGGTCGGAGGCGTCCCACGACACACACATGAGATCGGTCTCCGTGCCCGTAGCTCACTAAGTCTTCCAACTCTCCGCAGTCAGCAACTTGGTAGCAGACTGCTCTAGGAGGATAGCAGCTAAGGCACGATACATCGGTGTGCCACCGGGAGTAATTGTAAAGGCCACATACGCATTCAATCATCTCCAGCGATGCTTAGTAAAGTTGAATGAACGGCGCATCTCTCAGGAGTTGATCAACGCCGAGATCTTTACCCTTCTATCCTTTAAACAACCTTTTGAAGAATTCCCCACTTTTCTAGTAGTCTCTATACGCCTCATAACAGACTTGAAAGAAGAGACCATGGGATGCAAAACGACAATTCGTACAAAAAAGTGGGAAGTTGTACTAAAATGAGTAGTAGCACACGTAAAGAAAAGAGGCCAAAGTACTAGATACAGGAAATAGAAGAAACGTATATGAGCAGAAATGTCATGAAAAGAACAAAACTACAAATAGATAAAGGAACGATGAGGCAAAGTATAGTGCTTAGAGATCTTGTGCAATAAACGCATTGTTTGGTTCTACCCTTCAACAAGCCAACTAAGCTCGCAATATCTCCGAAGAAGGTAAATTAGTGCCAGAGTTATTTGGATCAAATCGACCAGCATTCAGTGACATTCGCGAACAAGTCAAAAGAAGACTTAATTAGTCGCACAAACTTAGTTGCCGTCATTATGTCACGACGTGAAACAGAAAGGTAGAGATATCCATTAAAACGTCTCACTTATCCTCTAACCAGCAAAGATTGGTAATGAGATTTCCAATGCTATACTATTACTAGTCTGCTCTACTTTATCCTTAAGACAAAGAGGTAAAAATATGCCTAAGCCCCCAAGACCGACTACCTATTACGCTCGACAATAATGAAATAAAGCCCAGTTTTTGTTTCGAAAAATCGAGAAACCCGCCGAAACATTAGCATTTTTGTGAACGAAGGGTCAAGTAAGAACGCCCTGTTTTCTTATGGATGAAAGAAGTGGGCTATTCCAAAATTGTGAACGAGTTTTCGAGTCTACACTATTTCAAAAGCCTTACAACCACTCGCTTAAAAAATTAGAAATTTCGTTAACTTTGCTCTCATTGCCATTTACCGAGCTTGTAAGAGCAAAAAACCTAGTATTCGATGTAAAATGGGAGAAAATGAGCGGGAAAACACTTTACGATTCACTTTCCCAAAGGAAAAGCTCAAACGAGATAATCAAATGTGGTTTTTCAGAAAGGACATGTGAAAATGATAAATTTAGAAGCAAAATAATATGAATCTGAACGAAGCACTTTTTCATCTAAACCCCACAAATGAGCTGATTATTTCCTTATTTCGCTTTGATTGTCATCACAGCCACAGCGATGCTAAATTGAAAGTGCACTGATACATTTTATAGTTTGGCTCTATATTGGATACAGATGTAATCCAATCAGTTTCCTCTTTCTTCCACTTTATTATCCTAACATTCTTTAAGTTCATTTCCTTGAATTTCATTTCCCTCTTTTGCAGATCAGTGATGAATAAAGGAATTATTTGTTTCTTAATAAAGTTGAAAAGACCCATCGACCATTAAACTTCAGTCGTTTTCTATTTTTTGTTCCATAGTTCAAGTAGGGCTCATGTGTGCCACGTTAAGAGGTGCTCGTTAATAAAGACATGTGATCGCTGGTTCGATCTCTTGGCTCCGCGCAAACCAACCTCTCCATCACTCCACAGCAGAATATTTATTAGCACATTTCTCCATGGGGATTACAGCACTGAATTAATGGATCGTTAAGCACCTACAAGTCATCGTATAGGCGAAACATGCAAATAATCACCTCTACGATTGCTGATGAAACGAATCCACAGCGCCTTTTGGGGATTAGCTTTTACGCTTTACAATTCAAATATTTATCGAAATACAGCCACAAGATTGCTGAGATATTTCCAAAACAACGGACCGCAGGTGTCTGCGGTGGGGAACGAACGCGCTATTGTCCTTGACGGGTGATTGCTGACGGCACTGATCAATAGAACCAGCTGAGAGACAGTCGAAACGAAGGACCCGCATGGTGTGGTGGTGAACGCGTTACTCCCCGAAAAGGACAACAACGCATTCGTTCCTCATCGCAGACACCTCTGGTCCGGAGTTTTGCCAATATCTCAACAATCTTGTGGTTGTATTTCGCTTAATACGCCGCCATAAAAATTATAGAAGGCAGAAAATAAAAAGTAGATATTTAAAGTATTTATCTTTAATTTCCAATAACAGTTCTAATCTCTAGTTTTTTCTTTCATTTTCTCTTTTTTCTCTGATTTTCTTCTAGAATTTCGTCTTCGCTTTCGTACTCGAACATATAATCGAAATGGTGATGCGTTAGACAGAGATCCGCACTCGGAGAATTGGCGAAGAAAATCCAACGTTTCTGAATGTGTCTAGACAGTCGGGTATCAAAAATTGCGCCATCTTATGTCGATATATCAAAACTCTTGTTAACGGGTTACATTACTCAATATAATCACAGATGTTGAGAAAGATGTCAGAAGGGTTCTGTTAGGTGTGGAGCGCACAGTAGGAAAACCTTTGACCTGATGATCAGACCACTTCCCAAAGAGCGTAAGAGGAAAATATGATGCTCTTCACCTAGCAATGGTGACGTGATGTGAGCAAATTCTGTGTTACTGCAGAATTGTGATTTGAATACGAATAAAGATTAAAACAACTACCACAGTCCTCTTAATAATTTCCACACTACGTGGAATAAAGCGACGAAGTAAATAACGTTAAAAAGTGCAAAGTTTAAGTCATCTGTCATTTTTTTCCTCTTAACAAAATTCTCCGGTGAGTCAAAGTTTCTTCACAATTTCCTCGAATACTAAAATTTGCTTAGGGTTCGCACGTGACGTGAAAACAACATGTTTTGGCAGTATCGCCTTCTTCAGAGCCGCTTTTTCGTGACTTCCAATGAGAGTCGTCAACCACATGCGACTATAATCAGCTGCTCTAAACTTCCTCATTGGAAGTCACGAAAAAGCGGCTCTGAAGAAGGCGATACTGCCGAAACGTCAGCTAGCGTTGTATTGTGTTGTGATTTTTATGGAAGTAAATGTATGCTGTTTAAAAACCTCG